CCTGCCAGAAGAAAAGAAATAACAAAGATCAGAGTATAAATAAATTAAATTAAAAACAGGAGAACAATAGAATCAATAAAATAAGAAGTTGGGTCTTTGAAAAAAACAATAAAATTGGCAAGACTTTAGCTAGACTGGCAAAGAAAATAACAGAAAAAATGCAAGTAGCCAAAATAAAAAATGAAAGAGGCAACATTACAACTCACCCAATAGAAATAAAGAGAATTATAACAGAATATTATGGGCAACAAACTGGACAACCTAGATAAAATGGACAAATTCTTAGAAGCATACAACCTACCCAAACTGACTCAACAGGAAATAGGAAGTCCCAGCAGACACAAAACAAGTGAAAAGATCAAGTCAGTAACCAAAAACCTCTCAACAAAAACAGTATACCAAAAGAAGGTGAGCAGCATAATATCACTAAGGAAAAGGAAGACACAGAGATGCACGAGAGGTACAGACAACCAAGGTAAATACTATTACATACGTAATACTGCATTATCAGTAATAACAAACATTAATTTATGGGTGGGTACATAGCTAGACAGGCAAGATGATCAAAAGGGAATATACCCAAGACGATATATAAGTTTGGCAGATGATATTTCTATATACTTATTTGTATGTGCTATAAAAATATATGTAATAGAGCAAACAGGAATAACTTCTTAGTCACAACCAAACACCTGAGGGAGTGAGTCCTAGGCCTGCGGGCTTGAGACCGTGGTCACAGGGGCATCAAACTCAGTTGGCATAGCGAACTACACAAAAACTTTGTTCTATGTCCTATCTTGGTGAGTAGTGACTGGGGTTGCATCTAAGGTACAGCAGTTGGCCTCTCCTTGTCTGAAGCAAAGAAGAGTGGAGAAAATCAAAGATTCATGGAAACAATTGTCTAAGGAGCTGGTGGACCATGGGAACCTCACCCTACACAACCCTGATACCAGAACTAGAACTAGCTACCACTGCCAACCACTCAGAAAGGCATCAAAGTTGGAGATCCTGAGTAGAGTGGGAGAAAAATGTGGAACAAAGCTCAAAATTATTTAAAAAATACCAGGCTTACTGGTCTTACGGAGACTGGTGAGACCCCCCAAAACTGAGTCCTTAGTCATCCTCAGGCCTGGAATTGAACTTACTCCCATGGCTTGACCTTAAGACAAATAATAGACAGGCCTGCAAAGTGAACAATTACACCAGGTAGGTGCACTCCTTGGAACAATCAACCGTGGGAGATCAAAAAGGCAGCATTTGCACAGGGAGAAAACTCAGAGGGCAGGAATACATAGGAAAGAAGAACACAGGGAAAAGGTAATCACAGGGAGGAAATGGGAAGAGAGCTATTACATCAATCCTCAAGGGGATTGCAATCAATGTCATGAAACAAAATACATATAAATTGTTGAATGGAAAATGAATTTGCTCTATAAACTTTCACTTAAGTCACAATATAAAGTTAAAAAAAAAAAAAACCTACCAACTAAAGTCCTGAACCAGATGGCTTCACTGAGGAATTCTACCAGCCATTTAGAGAATTGACACTAATACAGTTTAAACTCTTCCAAATGACAGAGAAGGAATGAAGTCTCCTTAAGTCATTCTCTGAGGCAAATATAACCCTGATACCCAAATCAGATAAATTACTCCACACACACACACACACAAAAAACTTATAGGTCATTATCTCTTAACAAATATAGGTGCAAAAATCCTCAACAAAATACTAGCAAACAATGCAGCAATAAATTAAGAGTCACAGACGATGACCAAGTGGGATTTATTCCAGGAATACTGGGATAGTTCAACATTAGAGAAATTAATCAAAATAATACACCACATCAGTAGAACAAAAGAAAAGAACCACATGATCATCAACATGAGTGCAGAAAAAGAAGTTGATAAGGTGTTAGAGAATTCCCATTCTTCTCAATGTTATCCATAATTTGTCATGATCCACACAATCAAATGGCTTTGCATAGTCAATAAAACACAAGTAAGCATCTTTCTGGTATTCTTTGCCTTGAGCCAAGATCCATCTGACAGCAGCTATGATATCCCTTGTTTCAAACCCAGTGCGGTGTACATGGTGCACAGGTATCAGCCCAGCTTACAGACTGAGACAGACTAGGAAGAAGGAAGAGGCCATCCACTTCTGAAAGAATTGGCCAGGGAAAACCTTATGAATAGACCCATAGACCAGTGAAATAGAAATGAGAGTCCAGAAATAAACACATATATCTATGCTCAACTTATTTTTGTCTAAGGTCATTTTGATGGGGAAAGAATAGTCTCTTCAATAAATGGTACTGGGACAATTGGATTTCCACATGCAGAAAAATAAAAACAGAATCCTTGCCTCACACTATACATACACAAAAACAAATTCAAAATGGATTGAGGGCATAAAAGTGCAGGCTGAAACCATAACAATTCTTAGAAGAACAAGCAGGGGCAACACTATCAGGCCTTCTTGTTGTTGTTAGGGTTGTTGATAGGTGCTATCAGGCCTAGCTTTCAACAGTGGATTATCTAATATAATAATAAAAGCACAAACAGCAAAAGACATAAATGGGACCTCATAAAAATTAAAAACTTTCATTCATCAAAAGGCTTTACCAAAAAAGGTGAAAAGAAAAGCTACTACCTGGGAGAATATCTTTGGAAACCATATATTCAACAAGAATCTAATAATATATATATAAAACTTCTACAAGTTAACAACAAAAAGACAGATGAACCAATCATAAAATTGGCAAAGGACTTGAATAGACATTTCACCAGGGAGGACATTCAAATGGCCACCAAACTCATGAAAAGATATTCAACATCATTAGCTATCAGAGAGATGGAAATCAAAATCACAGTGAGATACCATTTCACTCCTACAAAGTTGTCTAAGATTTTTTAAACAAACAGAAAATAACAAATATTGGTAAGGATGTGGGGAAATTGCAACTCTTACCCAGTGCTAGTGGGAATGTAAAATGGTACAGCCATTGCGGAAAATAATCTGGCAGTTCCTTAAAAAAATAAAAAATAGAATTTCCAACAATTCGACTCCTAAGTATATACCTAAAAGACTTGTACACTATTGTTCATTGCAGCACTATTCTCAATAGCCAAAAGGTGGAAACAACCTAAATGCCCATCAATAGATGAATGGATAAACAAAATGTGGTACATACATACAAGAGAATACTACTCAGTCAGTAGGAGAGAGTTCTAGATACAAGCTACAGTATGGATGGAGCTTGAAGACATTATGCTGAAGTAAGCCAATCACAAAAGGCAAATATTACATGACCTCAAGTATAGAAAAATACAAGAAAAGGCAGATGTGTAGAAAGAGACCAAAGTTTATTAGTGGTTACTGGGGACAGGAAAGAGAGGAAAAAGGTGGTTAAAGATGATAGAAAAATCACATTGATTAAGGGTAGGATTGCACAGCCAATTATTATCATTGCTGTCAGTAAGGTGTACACCTGAAAAAGTTGAATTGACAAAAATCATGTGATAGATATATTTACAATGATGACAAAAATAATCTGCTGAGGCTGCTTATATACAACCAAACACCTAATGGGATTGGTTCCTTGGTTCGGAGGTTTAAGGTCATGGTTTCATGGGACATCTCAGGTAATTGACCTAATAACATGTTCAGTGTTTCTATTCTACTTCCTACTTAATTGTGTAGTGGATGGTGTCTTAAAAGCGTACAGGCAGCTGTTCAAGGCACAACAATTGGTCTCTCTTCACCTGGAACAACAGAGGAAGAAGGAGAGTCAGGAATAGGAGGAAGATATGAAATGTGTGACTAATTGTCTCCATGAACAACTGCTTCCTTTGCCTAAGATCTGAAGAACTGGATGGCGCCTGGCTACCATTACTGAACATTTTGATCAAAGATTCCATAGAAGATTCCTGATCAAAAGGGGAGAAATACATAGAATTTCAAATTCTTATGGAATCCAGACTTTCTGGAGTCCTGGATGGTGGGTGAACCCCTGAAACTACTGCCCTGAGATAATCTTTAAACCTTAAATCAAAAATGTCCCTTAAAGTCTTCTTAAAACTAAGCAATAGTTTAGTGTAATTAGTAAAAATAGATCTGCCTAACCATTATGCTCTTTTTCTATTTTTGCTCTGGTTGACAGTTTACCAAATGCACTACATTTGTACCACTTGCTGTAAACTTTAAAATCATTCACACAGTGCCTTAGTAAAACCGTATTTTATGGAAAACCATTGCAAAACTAAAATGAAAATAAGAATGCACACGTTGCACACAGATAAAGTATTGAAATGTTAGGAATTTATTTAACCTATACTAGTGCTTGGGAGCTCTGGTGGCATAGTGACTAAGGCATTTGACTGCTAACCAGAAGGCTGGTGGTGCAAACTCACCAGCCACTCCTTGGAAGGAAGATTGGACAATCTACTTCTGTAGTGATACCACCTTGGAAACCCAAGGTGGAGTCGCTATGAGTCGGATCTGACTCGAGGGCAGTGAGTTTGGTTTTGTTTTTTAGTATACAAGTGCTTAATGAAGATTTTCTTATGACACAAGACCATGACTTCAGAAGTGTTAATGTCAAGTTGTGTATACAAAAATGTTTAATGTAACAGTGTTCGAGAAACAGGACAAAGCATTATTTTTCTTTTACAAATCCTTCTCTAAATTCATTCTCTATGCACTTTCTCTGTCCTTTGAAGAATTAGTTGTTCACACTGATGAGGTAAAGGGTCAATTCCTTTCAAAAACACACTTTAGTCTATTTACAAAACATGTGAAAAACCGAAAAAACCCACCACCATCAAGTCAATTCTGACTCATAGCATCCCCGATTGGCTTTCCAAGGCTGCAAATCTTTATGGAAGTGGATTCTCTCATTTACCTTCTGTGGAGCAGCTGGTGGGTTTGAACCAGGTGGTTAGCAGCTAAATGCCTTACCCACTGCCCCACCAGAGTTCCTAAAACATGCAAAGGGAGGTTTTAAGTAGGTGTTAATACAGAACTGGTTAAAAGTCAATACAACTGAGTAATAGAAAATATCTTTATTTCTGCAAACCTAGGTTGTCCCTGACCTTTCTAAAAGATATAAAGTTCCATAAAATGGCATACAGTGCAGAGACAGAAACATAGAAATTTGCAAATTTTATACCTGTTGAGACAAATATTTTTGAGTACTGACTTTACCTCTAGCTGTGAAACCAGAGTGAGCTATTCAGCAACCAGAATGCTATAATAATTGGATACATGGCCATTACTCTTGTAGCACATTCTTTTTTCTCCTCTTCTGGAAGTTGTAGACATCTATTTAGTTTGGTTATCTGTCATCTTAACAAAGCTGCATCTACAGTCATGTCATCTGAAGTTCCTTCAGTTGTTGCATTTGTATTTGAATTGCCACACATGGGAGCATTTCTAACCAGCTGTCCATTTTGACAAACAGCATTTTCACTAGAGTGCTCTGTTTTTAGCCTTAGAACTGCTGAGATTTCATCATTTTGAGGGGTTGAAGAAGATTTTAAAATCCAGAAAATCTAGTGGTTCTTCATTTAGTATAAGTACACTAGGTGGTGGTTTCAGTGCTAGAAGTTTAAAAAAAGGCTGGTGGTCTCTAAAATGAAATGTCTTCATTTATTTCCTGCAACAACAGTCCTCTCTGGTAACTGTATGATTATACTGGCTTTTGGAGCTCCTTGTTGAGACCTATATTCAATAAGTAGCATCACGATAAATGGAGAAAAGAAATTGTCAAAAACGTGGTTCTATAATCAACACCAATGGAATCAGCAATCACAATATCAGATGATGTATAGCACTGAGCAAATCAGCTGCAAAAGATCTCTTTCAAGTGCTGAAAAGCGAAGATATCTCCTTGAGGACTACAGTGCACCTGACATAAGCCATAGATGGTATTTTCAATTGCCTCATATGCATGTGAGAGCTAGACAATGAATAAAGAAGACTAAAGAAGAGTCAGTGCTTTTGAGTTGTGGTGTTGGCAAAGAATGCTGAAAGGACCACAGACGACTAAAAGAACTAACAAATCTGTCCAGGAAGAAGTGCAGCTGGACTGCTCCTTGGAAGCAAGAATGGTCAGACTTCATCTCACCTACTTTGGTCATGTTGTCAGAAGGGACCATTCCCTGGAGAAGGATATCATGCTTGGTAAAGTCGAGGGTTGATGAAAGAGGGGAAGACCCTCAACAAGATGGATTGATACAGTGGCTACAATGATGGACTTGGGTATAGCAAGGATCATGGAACTGACAGAGGACCAGGCAGTGTTTCGTTCTACTATACATAGGGTCTCTATGTGTAGGAAACGACTTTATGGCACCTAACAACAAACTTCTAATTTTTCCAGGACCCTCATTCACTGACTAATACCTTCAGTGTATTCCATTTTGTAGTGAATTCAACTACTTTCCACCATTCTTAGCAGTAGTGGGAGAAAGAAATGCTGCCCCACTCACCAAATGTGTAATAACACAGCTTGCTATTTGGTATTATCTGTTTCTCTGCTTCGTATTAAATCCTTTAACTTGCTTCAGTGGGCATATGCTGGATTTAGAGCCACTTTTTTTTTCGTATGGGAACTCTGGTGGCATAGTGCCTAAGGCATTTGACTGCTAACCAGAAGGCTGGGAGTTCAAACCCACCAGCCACTCCTCAGAAGGAAGATTGGGCAATCTACTTCTGTAGAGATACTGCCTTGGAAACCCAAGGAGGGTTTGCTATGAGTCATATTGATTCAATGGCAGTGAGTTTGGGTTTGTTTGGGGTTTTTTTCCCCCTTTCCTGCCCTTCTGGGCCTGCTGGAAGGTCCTCAGTGAGCTCCTGGGGTGCTCTGGTGGGCGCTCTCAGAGGCCATTGGGTGAGCACCAGCCAGAGCATGGGCATTATGCTCTTTTAAGAATTATCTATATAGGATCAAATTGACAACAGCAATTCAACAGATTAGATAAGAACTTTAGGGAACAGTGAATTTATGTTAGTGAGGGAGGAACAACTCAGAAAAGGAGGTTGAGAACAGTTGCGTAATTTATAGAATATAATCAGTGTCACTAAATTTTACAGGTAGAAACTGTTGAATTGGTGTATGTTTTGCTGTGTGTATTCTCAACAACAACAAAATAAATACTATTTAAAGAAAAAAATTAGTTACATGATTAGATAGGTACCAAAAATTCTTGCTTTCCTTGGCTTTATGTTTACGCTGTTTGGTAACCAGATGATTTTATGTATGTTTCTTCTTCAGGGACCAATGGAGGGGTTACATTAGTGGGCCTTGCCTCCAGTCTCCTTGGTGGTACCTTTGTGGGCATTGCGTACTTCCTCACACAGTTGGCTTTTGTAAATGATTTAGACATTTCTGCTCCCCAGTGGCCAATTATCGCATTTGGGGGTCTGGCTGGATTACTAGGATCAATTCTGGACTCATATTTAGGAGCTACAATGCAATTTACTGGTAAGAACATTATCTTATTATTGCAACTTATTGGTGTACTAAAGAAATGTAGAAAGAAATATGAAGGAAGAAAAAAAAAGAAGAAGTAACAATGGAAACAAACCTAAAGACAGAGTTACATGATCAGGAATATTAGAGATCTCTTCTACAATTTTGATTTTCTTATTCTTTTGCATTAAATTAATTAAAAGAGAATTGGTCTTGTTGAACAGTGATTAGAAGCTGTGTGGGAAGGATACAATAGAACAGGAAAGAGATGCTTTAGCTTATGGGACTTCACCTATTCTGGGGAAAACAAGACATTTGGAAATCAGATAATTTTAATGCACCTTCTTCCATGTGTTTTTTAAGTCCATCCAAGAGGTAATTATTGTCCTTACCTGACTAACACACATGTACTTTTCCACTGATGTCATGCTTGTCCTCCTTCCCACAGAGTTTTTAGCCCCACCCAAGGTATGTGGGAGAGTCAGTTTTCCCAAAATTTTTTTTATATTTTGTTTCTGAGCCTCTCCTGTGTTGTAATTGTACTGACATACTCTGTTAGGTATGAATGGTACCACACTCTGACCAACCATTTTTTCTCCTTTGGTGAACATCATGAAAACACTGCAAACCTGGAGAAAGTTTCCCTGAGGAGTCTTCCCGGTGCTCTTCATGCTCAGAGATGATATGCTTATACACCCCCTCCTTTGCCCACCAATCAGAATGTTTGTTTTGTCTTTCATTAGCCTCCACTAGCTGCCAAGGAGGAAGCAATCTGATTTTAATTTACACTCAATAACTCTCTAACGGGAAATTTCAGATCATATTGAGTCAAGTTGAAAAAATGTGGGCAGGGGGGAAGAGTAATTCATTCAGTAATTCTTTATATGCCTCCTTCATACCAAGTCCATGCTGGGCCCTGTGTATCCAGTTCTGAGGCCACAGACTTGACCCCTACTGTCAGGGGCCTCACAGATTCGTCTTAGAGAAGAATGACTGGGAAGACAGCCCAACCTGCCAGTTTCATGCCATTTCTACTTTTCATGTTCTCCTTTCTACTTCTGAAGAAACTTCAGGGGTGTTGAGAGAACAGTAGATGTATGGTGAAACCCATTTATTCAAATAGGTCATTTTAATGAAAGGTTTCATATCTCTCCCAACTTAAATTATCTACTAAACCATTTTAAAAGTGTCTGAGTCTAATAGATTGCCTCCTTTGGAAGAGTAAAAGCTAGTTTGTTCTCTTTTTTTTTTTTTTTTAATTGAATCATTGGATTTTTCACCTTACTTTTCTCCTTCTCATTCCAGGTTTGGATGAGAGCACAGGCATGGTGGTCAACACTCCAGTGAACGAGGCAAAGTACATAGCAGGGAAACCCATTCTTGATAACAATGCAGTGAATCTGTTTTCTTCTGTCCTTATTGCTCTCTTGCTTCCAACAGCTGCTTGTGCTTTGTGGCCCAGGGAGTGAATCTTACATCATTTCCACAGGTTGAAACTGTGGTGAGTTCAGCTAGATTTGCAATTCCAAGTTCTATCCTAAGAACAGTAATTTTAATGGTTTAAAGCAGAAATGCCAGCTTCTCACATATTCCATTGTGATAGGATTCTATATTTTCTCTCTTATCAACTCCCTTGTAACAGCTAACATCTTTCTAGTGAAAGACAAGAGTGCTTAGAATTTATGTATATTTTTCTTCTGCTGGATGGAACTTCTTAGCAATGAAGTTGTGTTGTCCCCCTCCTGAAACTGAGTTACTATCTGGTGGAGTGGAGTTGAAGTTAGGTGCCATCAAGTCACTTTGTCACATGGACAAAGTGGAACTGCCCATTGGATTTTCTTGGCTATAAGTTTTACAGAAGCAGATTGCCCAGTCTTCCTCCCATGGAACCACTGGCTAGGTTTCAACCCTTAACCTTTCAGTTAGCAGCCAAGCACTAAATCCTTGGTGCCACCAGGGCTTCTTTCTTACTTGGTAGGTATAAATTTTCTTTTGTTTAAACCAGTCTAGGGACTAAAAGTGATGAAATTTTAAAATAGTTCTTAGATATGGCAGAGAAATGCCACTGTGCCAGTTACCCAAATGCATCTGCTTTACACAGAACACTAAGCTGGTGTGTGGAAGCCTAAATAAGTGTAATATCTTGGACTTCTCCCTTTACTTTTCTATTCACAATTGTGAAAGGTATTGAGTTTGGTTCCTAGTGAGCTGTGTAGTCTATGCTACATTTTTCTTCCTGCCTCAGGGTTAGTGATTAAATAAATAAATAGATAAATAAATGTCTTTTTCAGACGACCATTGGAATGTGTGAAGAAAATATTTTTAAGTAAAAGCAAAAGAGATTTATCTTGTGTGTAAAAAATGTGCACCTTATGTGTTTCAGTTGCTCTCTGAATAGAAACTATCTTGAATTTGACATATTAAATGTATTTTCTAGCATTCTTTGAAATATTTACAGGAATCTGGTTTTACATTGACTCCTGAACAATTAAAGAATCACTGGACAATTACCGTTTCTTTTTTTGCTATACTAAAAGTTGCTGGAAGATGCTGTGATTCCCTATTAAGTACCTTCTAAGGTGTGTTCGGGAGCTCTGGTAGCATAGTGGCTAAGGCACTTGACTGCTAACCAGAAGGATGGCGGTTCAAACCCACCAGCCACTCCTCGGAAGGAAGATGGGG